TTTGTCTAAGTTTTAATATTTCCACTTCTAAGACAGGAGCACTGCTTGAAAGATGACCATCTAAATGCCAGTCAAGAAGAGAGTAGGTAGGTCATATGGGCCCAATCTCAGTGAAAGTCTAGACGTTTTAATCAGTTCCTAGAGTAAAGTGAGACATTGTCTCTATGTCATTTTGGTGATCAGTTGATCTAGATCATATAACTTTAATTAGCAGACCAATATAGTTCTGTTTGAATGACCTCACAGATTCAGCAAGCTAACTGGCCAAAGGTAGATCTGTCTAGTAGCTATCTGTCCACCTGTCAAATTATAGAAGCCTAAATTGGTAGTTCTTTAAGTTAAGTTAGTTTGATGCTTTTTGAACAGTATTTCAGTAATTCCACGCCAACTTTTATGAGTGAATGAGTGAGTGAGTGAGTGAGTGAGTATGGTTTTACGCCGCTTTTAGCAAAATTCCAACAATAGCAGAGCTGGGGACACCAGAAATGGGCTTCACACATTGTACCCATGTAGGGAATCAAACCCGGGTGTCCGGCATGACAAGCCAATACTCTAACCACTAGACTACCCCACTGCACCTTATCTACTAGGAACTCCCCAGGTTCTGCAAGTCTCATAGGTTTACCTCTTTGGTGAAACCCCAGGCACGTATATGGTGCCGACTTACTAAACAGCAATCCGAATCATCTGAGGGCGGTTGGGTAGGTAAAGCGTTGGCTCGTCACACCGAAGACCCGGGATCGATTCCCCACATTGGTACAATGTGTGAAGCCCATTTCTGATGTCCCCCGCCATGATGTTGCTGGAATATTACTTAAAGCGGCATAAAACTAAACTCTCTCACTCACTCACTCTGAATCAGCTGTGATTCAAACCCATCACATAACCTACTTGGAATGAAGCAGTGGACTTGTAAACACATTAAAATAAAATTTAAAAAACGAAGAAGAAAAGAAAAAAAAATCAGCATCATCAAATATGGTGATTATTTTGCATCTGTAATGTTTGATTTAAATAACCCAGTAAATTACAGACACAGATACTGCTTTCAATTACACATTCACAATGTTTAATTCATGAATGACGAAACAGAATGTGGCATACTCATTGTTAAATCAGCTCAAAACATCAGTTCAATATAACAGAACAAAGCCAACATGACATTACTGGCCTTTTTCTGAATATGGATGGAATCTGTAGAAAATTCATGTCTACTGAGGAAGTTCAGCAACAGATCCATACACAAAGAACCTTCCTATAGCACTTGGACAATCTATTGGTTCCATACACAAAGAACCTTCCTATAGCACTTGGACAATCTATTGGTTCCATACACAAAGAACCTTCTTAAAGCACTTCTACAATCTATTGGTAACAGCATTCGCTTTTCACCCAAAAGAGTACCCAGTTTGATTCTGAAATGTGTGATTGCATTTCTCATGTTTCAATATTGCCAAAAGAGACACAAGTTATACTTACTAATCTTCATGAAATATAAATCAATTTGGTTTAGACCTTTAGAGTGAGCGAGTGAGTATGGTTTTACGCCTCTTTCAGCAAAATTCCAGCAATATCACATTAGGGGCACTAGAAATGGGCTTCAAACATTGTACCCATGTGGGGAATCGAACCCAGGTCTTCGGCAGGACGAGCGAATGCATTAACCACTAGATTACCCCACCGCCCCTAAAGCATTAGAAAAATACCTTTAAACTTTCCCATATTAACTTAAAATTTAATCTACATTAATGAAAAGTGCTGCATAATCATAACTTCAAAAAGCCATTTCAGAAAAGTATTTGCACTGTTTCAAGTTAACTATTTAAAATACAAAGTTATAGAAAATCTTGTGAACAGCTGAATGACTTGTACTTACATAACTTGCTTCGTGTGCAGCATATTCTTGATACAAGAAGAAACACTCACAGATCTTAGTCCACCACCATGCATCTTGTGGTAGAAGAATCACTCGCAACACTTTCAAATATCTCAAAATAATATTTTCGGATCCAACTACGTCAATAACTATTCCCTGAAGACTAACACGTTGGCTATTACTACAATCCTATAAATGTGGACGCAGGGAAGGTGGGATGTGACACATCAGACCAAGTGCACATGCCGTCAACTTCTAATGCCACTTATTTGTTGCCACTTTGAAGTGGCATATCGACGTTTGAAAAAAAATCCCTTTCACAAAAAGCTTCAATTACTTTACATCACAAAATCAAACACAAAAATCATGTCAAAACTGCTTAACATTTACAAAAAATATGTCTTGAAAGGTTCAGTAGTACCAGTCGTAATAGACTTGATGAAATGTCTACCTTGAATATTGAATGTCGTGTATGCTTCGCTCATGGTGAAAAATCAATGCCATCTTATCTGTAGAAGGACACATTGATGATATAATCGATGTCAGCAGACATCCTTAACAGACTGTCCACCGTTCTCAATAGTGACAAACTATGACTCACCCGTTTTGAGGCACTGGAAGAGTTTCCACCTCTCTCGGACATTCTCCATACTGCGACTTTCACGTGCCATCTTGATCCTGTCGGTATCATCTACGCCATCATTTATGTAATCCATGTGACTGAGCCTTTAATTTTTTATCGTGTTAAATCTGAACATTTCATCCCTTTTTTCCCGATGACATTCAGTGGTTATAGCTAGTCAGTGACTTTAATCGTCCATGCTATTATCCTTATGTCAGCAGATTGCGCTTCAGAGGGTTTCGTGAGGAGCCTCCATATTCGTCAAAAGATCCTGCCGAGGCAATCAAACATGGCTGAGTTTTGTCCACACTCTCTCAAAAAAATGTCTTTGATGAACCAACAGCGCACCCTTTGGCCTCCAGACACCATCAAAAACTGTCAAAACCCAACCTTCTTCAGTGTCACAGACCCAATACGTGTCAACCATTGACAAGACGATTCTTAAATTACGATTTTCAATATTGACAAACGCAAATTAGTTTCATCAAAACGGGACGTGGTAACACCATTAGCACCTTGTGAAACATCTCTGGATGCCCATCAACAATTGGATCTGTGTTGAACAGACCTGAACAACTCGGCATGTAGACAGACCCACAGATACCCTCAGGAAGGGCAGACAAAGATGTGGAGGGCTCCAGACCACTTAAACTCAGGTCAGCAGAAAATATTGAAAATCAGATCCTTCTGTCAAATAAAGACGAGGAAGATGGACATCCTGCATGTCCTTACCATCGACTTGAACCTCTCTCTTCCTAAGATGAAACTCCTGTGATAATCTCCATCATGAACGTCCCTGATTGACATAACATGGCAGTTTGGGTGTATATTGCTAAAAGATGAGCTTTGATCCAAATAATACCAGTACAGGGCTTACCCTTTCTCATCAAATCAAGCCAAACATGAAACAAACCATGTTGCATAATGAAACTAACTGATATGAAAGATCGTGATTCACATAAACCACATTAAGCTATTTCTGATCGGAGATGATCAGAGATAAAGCAGATAGAAGGCCGAACATGCCTGGAAATGTACAACCCTTTGTGTACATGACATTGCCTGACCTGCTGCCTAAACAGGCTAATTGGGCATTTCTTTACTGAAACTTTTTTTAATCAAAATGCAAAAATGTCCGCTGTCAAAACTTTTCTTAAAAAGTTAAACACTTTTCCTTTCAGAACAAACTTTTCAGATTAATGTTTCCATGCAATCCCTACACGATACTATGACGTTACTGAAATGAGAAAAGTACAAAACTCAGGTAATGCGTGATCTGTTGGATCTTCTACATAAATGAAAAGTGCTGCATGTTCTTATCATCAAACAGCTTTATGCTAAGTGAACAGTCATCGATCGATACTCATATCTTTAAAGAAACACTGCATTTAATTAATTCTACAAGGTATTCCACAAAATACTCATTTTCAAAACGAAATGAAGTACTGGACAATCAATCGCCATCAAAAAGCAGCACAATATTTTTTGGTCTTACTGTAAAATATTTCATCAGGTACTGACCAGACTCATTAAAGGAAACCATCTGCTGGCAAAAAGTCATCTAGTCTGCATAGTTTCATAGATCAGCAGCCAGCCGAGCTATCAATTCCCTCCCAATAACGTTTACGCTATAGAAGCCATTCAGTGAAAACTACCAATTTCGGCATGCAATGGTTAACCTTTAACACTTTATTACATCAAAGAAAAGACGTCAACAGATGAACGCTCTACGCTCACCATGTCTTCACTGTTGCAGGAAGCTGGTGCACTGCAGTTCAATTTTAAGGGAAGCTCTGGTTTCAACATATTGGCAGTCCAACAAATTTGATATGTATTTTTCTATTACAATTGTATACCTGTATTCAAATTTGATCACAATTTAAAGTTATCCTTATAAAACAGAGTGAGTGAGATTAGTTTTACGCCGATTTTACCAATATTCCAGCAATATCACGGGACACCAGAAATTGGCTTCACACATTGTACCCATGTGGGGAATCGAACCTGGGTTTTCAGTGTGAAGAATGAACGCTTTAACCACTAGGCTACCCCAACGCCCTTTTATCAAACAGAGATACGTCTCAATTTCACACAGGGCATAAAAACAGCATTGGTAATAAGATAGGAAATTGGCAGCAAGTTGCAAGTTCAAGTCATTTCCTAAAGATATGTTACTAAGACTGTCAATGCTGTTAGGTTTGTTTATAGTATAGGGGCACCAATGTACGACAAATACGCTACAGTCATAAGCCTGTCAAAGAATAGGTTACAATAATGGACTTACATGGGTCAATCAAAAAAGAAATATGTAGTTGGGGTCTGACCTGCCGGCATGTGGCTAGTTTGATAATATTCACTGCAAAGCATTAAGCATACTACAGATGAGGTCTACAATGTAACAAGAAATCTTAAAGTTTAACAAATGATTCAAACTCAAACATATATTTATGTACTACAGGACTTGCAATGTTAACCAGAAAGAGTTTTTACTCGTAAAAACAGATGCCATTATACGTTTGAATATTTGCTACTACCACCAAGATCTGCACCCGAGGCGGCTCCACTCAGGCTCCCGCCCCAAGCTTCGACGCTCACCTCGGCGACCCTCCTACTCTCTAAGTATGAATTCGAAAATACATACCGGTATTATACATGTTTTATAGTAGTACATGTATATGATTGATGCTTCAAATTTGGTGGAGATTATTCAAGTAGTTTTAGAGTTATGTTCCGGAAACAATGGGAACGCTGAAAGGTTCGCCAAAAGGCACATCGACGCTGACACCGACGGAAACTCAACCAAAAACAATATGTCTCCCGACCCTTCGGGGGAAGACATAACTATCTGTGAATACTTTCAAAGTGTATGGTATTTGAAGCACTATTTTGCATCTGGTAAAACCTTACAATTGTCTTAATTGGAGCATAGATTAACTTCCATCCCCATACCTTTAAATTAAATGACACTGAGCGACAAAGACCACTGATACATCCATATGTTCCCTTCATACATAATCCATGATAAGAAATGGCATCTACTAACAGCCAACATGTAACACAATAAACATATAATGCAATAAACATATAATGTAATAAACAGATAACATAATAAACAGCTTGGGAACTGAAGACCACTCACTTCCTTGCTTTCTAGGTTCTGTGTGACACATTCACAAAAATACCACATTCACCGTTTCCTTTCATTATATAAGTCTAATACATCACAAAGAATGGATCTGGCTATGACCGACAAATGAGATGAGTGTCTTTCACAGTTTGGACATCAAGGGACAGACTTGTATCACACCTTCCGAAAATCACCACAAAACACCTTCCTCTGTTTTCGCAGTGTACAATCCAGTACAAAACAGTCACATATCTGAATCTAGAGGCACGTCTGGGACCTTGAGAACCAACACTGACCAGTAGATTGCCTGACCACACTGTCACATCTGGGCATGGAAGCTGTTCATTTGTTCCTGTCGATTGTCAACAGCCTGAACATGACTCCCTATTTCATGTTTCATGAGCACTTGTACAAATGAACATTTACAGATCTGTAATAACATGAAGTAAGAACCTAAGGCCATCTGACAGAGCTTTTCCTCATTGGTCAACTCCATTGATCAACACCTGGACAAATCACCTGTCAGGTGACGAGATTCTTGCTGATAACAGTCAGCCAGCATATCCCGGAGCGGACACCTGGCCAGGTGGGCCAACACAATGACATTACTCTGACCCCAGCATGTGCTATAACCTTCTCATTAAAGGCGTGACGATCAACTATGTTATTTGACACTGTATTGTATAATGTTGCATTACATGATCACATTCGTGTATTCTTGATTTGATTTTGAGCAAAACTATAGGAAAAGGTTTTAACCAAATTTAACATTGTGAAAATACCCAATTTTACAGTCTCTGCTCAAATTAAATGTGATTGTTTCCAGTCAATATTTCAGCTTCACACAACTTATTCATGAGAGGACTTAAACACAGGACTTGGTGCAACAGTCGAAAGCTTTAACCACTAAGCTACCCAGTAGCCCCAAATAAATGGACTTCTGTGGGGATTCTGGGTAAAACTATGCGATCCAAGCTACCTGTGCTTATCACCAGTGGATTAGGTGGTCAGACTTGGTACCTTTGTTAACTGCATGCCAGCATATCCAGGTAGATCGATGCTCATGACTAGCACTAGATTGTTTGGCCCATATTCATTGTTTATAGCCTACCTTCGTATATATTGTCTATTACTTAATATGGCATGAAACAACAAACAAACAAAATACTAAAACAAATATGAAAGAAAAAGAGTATGGATGAGCAAGGATAGGTTCCAGTCAACCTAAACTTACCAGGAGCATCAAGATGGATCCCATGGCCATGGGACTTGCTTATTATATCAACCACTGGTTTGTTTGGGACGGATTTCCTACAAGCCACTTAGTAACATAGTATCACTAAGAACAGCATTAAACAAATAGACGAGATTACCAAACGATTCCCCGAGAGGAGTTACTATACAGGAGACACAAAACAAACACAACAGCAGTGGCTAGACACAAACATGTGCAACGATGGATGGATTTAGCTGGGGTACCGGATATGAAAGCATCTCACAGAGTCCATACTTCACAGCAGCAAGTAATTCTCAGCTTTATTGTTCTTCTGTAGCAGCAACAACACAACGAGGCTTCTCTACTTAGCACTGCCAGTACTTCTCAATCATGACTCAACCATCCCTGAAAAACCTCTCAAAGTCAAGCCTTTTCTTTCAGACCTCAACAATCTAATAGAGGTGAAACAAAAGATAGACTTAGCATTATCTTCCTTCCACATACACTTCACATGGCTGCCAGAAGAATGCAAAACATTGTTTATATGTATATAAAAAATGACACTGCTAACTATATATTTCTTTATCCCTTATAGTAAACGATCAAATTTGTGTAACCTGCAAAGTACAGAATTTTTTTTAAAAATTCCAAGAACTATTTAATTGTGCACATACAACAGAGAATGCTCTTCAAGAAGCAGCTATATTCCGGGGAAGATAAACCTGACATTGATGTAGATGGTTGGTTTGTTGGTCCACGCCGCACTCACCAATATTCCAGCTATTTGGTGGTGGTTTGTAAAAAATCGAGTCTGGACCAGACAATCCAGTGATCAACAGCAGGAGCATCGATCTACGCAATTGGGATATGATGACATGTGTCAACCAAGTCAGCGAGTCTGACCACCTGATCCCATTACTCCCCTGTTATGACAAGCATGGGTTAGTGAAGACCAACTCTAACCCGGATCTTTACCGGTGACATTGATGTAATATGTGACATGAACCATTCATCAGAGAAAACCATACAATATGAAGTATTTTAAGCAACAAAAATGGAAGTATTCATATCTTTGTGCTGAATATTACATACACCTAGAGTCACTCCTGCAACTGGGGAGCCAGATGGCAGTCTGATGTAAGAAAGCAGATGGGTACTTAAACCAGTGGGGGGACAGCATGAGCAGTGATTCACATTGACAACATGGATATGATGATCACAATGAGCCATTGAAGCCATCCAATCCACAAATGTCATTGGTGTTATGGCCTATTCAGTCCTCCAAAGCTACACAAAACATGCAATGCTACTGGGACTCTCTCTATCCTCAAAGGGATGGTGGGGCGGTGGGGTAGCCTAGTGGTTAAAGCGTCCGCTCGTCATGACGAAGACCTGGGTTCGAATCCCCACATGGGCACAATGTGTGAAGCCCTTTTCTGGTGGTCCCCGCCGTGATATTGCTGGAATATTGCTAAAAGCGGCGTAAAACCATACTCACTCACTCACTCAAAGGGATGGTGGGGTAAAGCATTCACTCGCCACACTGAAGACCTGGGTTCGAATCCCCACATGGTTACAATGTGAGAAGCCCATTCTGGTGTCCCCCGCCGTGATAGTGCTGGAATATTGTTAAAAGTGGCGTAAAAGTATACTCACTCACTCACTCACTGTATCGATTCCCTTATATGGCCACCTTAAAAACTCACAGGTACTGGGGACCCTTTCTATCTTAGAATCCCCTCCACACACACACCCAATGGTAGCCTATTCTGTCTCTGGAATCACCACCGAAACCATGAAGATCCGGGTTAGAATTGATCTTCAGTAACCCATGCTTGTCGTAAGAGGCAACTAACGGGATCGGGTGGTCAGACTCACTGACTTGGTTGACACATGGCATCGTATCCCAATTGCATCTTGTGCTGTTGATCACTGGATTGTCCAGACTCGATGTTTACAGGCCGTTGCCATTTAGCTGGAATATTGCTGAGTGCAGCGTTAAACAACTAACCAACCTACCATCGAATCACCAGAGGGACACAAGATGGGTACTGGGTCCAATTCTGTCATATACTGGTAATTCCCACAACATACCAGAATAGGAAGTGGGACCTATCCTGAAATCCCCAGAGGGACACACATCTATCAACAAATGAGAAGATTTTACTTAACCAAATTTAAGGAACCCAAAATCTGAAACTAAATCACATCCATGAGTTAATTACCGTAAATGCCCACATTGAGGTTGTGAACCAGCCCACGAGACAAGGTGAGGCATCAATTTAAAGCAATAAAAGAAGTTCTCCCTCAGCCTGTCGCCTTCCGCCATCTTGTAACACTATTACATCTCCAATCTGGTTCAATATTTGAAATTAGAGAATTGTGCAAATTGATCAAGTCTAGGTTTTTCACTTCAAGAAATAAATCCCTTGGAAGGAGTTAGGGCAAAGATTAGATTAATGAAGTTATTTAATTTACATTGATTTTGTTGTAGATTAAGCCCAAATATTGCCCAAAGCACCAAAGAAAAAGAGTGCTACGTTGTAAGGAACAAGTTTTCATCAAACAGCCCAAACCTCTTGAAGCTAAGGACAGGTAATTCTCAAAAAAGGATAATTTCTTCCCAAAGCCAGAGCGTTTGTCACAATATCGAAGTCGGAGGATATAACAATTAACTACCCTAATGTTGTCACAGCAGCAGCAGCAACAGCAACAGCAACAGCACCATCAACAGCTCCTACAGCTATTCCACATAATTGATATGATGTTTAGGAGATAAACACTGTGTTATTGAGCATTAGAAACCACTACTTATAGTCTACTGCAATCTGATTGGTCATTCAACCTTGTCGATTATCTGAATATTCCCATCATCTCATAAGCCTCTTTACTCTTTATGAATAGAAAAAGGTACTATTTTTCAAAGGCAAACAAACAAATCTGAAGATAACTGATTTTGTTTAGTTTTAACAAAGGCTTAATGGTGTCAGTTTTAAAATAACAACAAATTTATTCAAGTTCTAATTCAATGTCTAAAAAAGTGAATATTTCAAACCTCCAGATAACACAGTGTCACTGCCAGTTAAAAAAAAATATTTTAAATCTCTAAAATCGAAAATGCAAGTTATCAACATTATAGAACACAGATATTATCAAAAAATGTCCCCTGCAAGAACCACATGATTTCACTCTCAAATGCTGTGATCTCACTGGATGTCATAATACAATGGTTGCCAATGGATACAACGGTCAGCAGAATATAAAAAGA